TGCTTAATGGTTTGATTTTCTACAAGTATTTTGTAATCTTTTACACCTTGCAGTTCCGTACTCGATGCGTCATATGTCAGAGGAACAAGTGCAGATTTATTTTTATTTACCTCCGCATTCGAAGCTTTTTCGAATTCTGTTATCAACTCAGACACTATATTCCAATCATTGGGACATCCTAACCCAATTGTTAAATCATCAGCGAAAGCTGATGCATTAAACTTATGTTCATATATTGTCACACCATTTAACTTTTGTACTAATAATCTGAGAAACGGTTCAAAAGCTAAAACATATAATAGAGGGGAAATAGGGTCACCCTGTCTGACCCCTCTTTCTATTTTGAAAGCAGCAGAGAGAGCATTGCCATCTAATATGTGTGCACTTTGATTTGAAAAAAGATTTTTTAAAAGATTTGTAAAAGTCCGATTAAACCCCATTTTTTCAAGGGTTAACAAGAGGAATTCATGGTTTACTCTATCAAAAGCTTTTTTTTGGTCAATAAAGAGTAACCAAGCATGTTTTGATTGATTTTTTTGTCTTTTCACGAATCTCATTGTTGAAATTACATTTAAGGCAGCATCATAAGTGGTTCTACCGGAAACAAAGCCGTGCTGATGACTTCCTATTAAATCTTCACATATTTTGTTTAATCTGCTTGCCAATATTTTTGTAAATATTTTGGCATCGCAATTTATTAGTGATATTGGTCTCCAATTACCAATATCACTTAAATCATTCGATTTTTTTGGAATTAAAATTATTGCACTTTTATACCATGAGGTTGGGAATTTACCTGTTTTCAAAATTTGGTTAAAAATTTTTCCCAAAAGTGGAACAAGTTTTTCTTGAAATTTTTTATAAAATTCAAATGGCAATCCATCAATTCCTGGAGATTTGTCATTTTTAAGTTGGGCTATTGTATTGGATACTTCTTCACAGGTAATTGTCTCTATTAGTGAGTTATTTTGATCTTCGGTTATGCTTGGTAATTCATCCGTTATTTTGCGAGCAAGATTTGAATCAATATTATCTTTCTTGAAAAGTTCTTGATAATATGTTTTTATGTAAGATAAAATGTTTATAGGGTTATTTGATGTGGGATCCGACGGGTCTTGGATTTTTGATGTCGATCTTTCCTTTTTTTCGCCCCATCCTGCTTTAATTAGGTCTTCTTGAATTTTGTGGTCTTCTAAGTGAGAGATGTCACTACTGACATCTGACCACGTTAGGTCAAAATCTGTCGACTTATCATTTTGTTTTTCGAAGGCTTTATGTTTGTAATGGCAAAATACGGATTGAAGATTCTTCTTTAAGTGATCCCACTCTAAAACTGAGTTCACACTAGTTATTTCCTTATTTATGCGTTTTTCAACTATAGGGACATCGAGCAACTTTTTATTCAATCTCCAGATGACAGTTTCAAGAGTACAAACTACCAAAGGTTTACTAAATCTGAAGTGGGTTTTTATCTTTTGGCAAAAGTTTGCATAGTCATTATCTATAAAAATATAGTCCAGCTTCATTGCTGATGGAAAATTTTTTTGACGACAATTAATCAACGATTTTTCTCCTACTATTTTCACGACATTCGTAAAATCCGACAGTTGATTTAAATTTTGACTATAGATTGAGCCTATGCTCGTGTTAAATTCTCCAACTATGACATTAACCGAATTTTCTCTTTTGCCTGGTATCCAGTTATTAAAAAAATCCCGTCTATCATCATTAAATGGAACGTATATATTTGTTACTTGGATAGCCCTGTTATTGTGCAAGAAACTTGCTGTGATTCCGTTTTCAATTTCTTCCACATTTTTGAAATGGATATTTTTATTTCCAGCTAGAATTGCCACTTTTGATGTCCAGAATGACTCATGTTTCCAAATATTCTTCTTAATGTATTCTATATTCTGTTGGGATAAATAAGTTTCCTGAAGGTTGATTACGTCTAAATTATATCCCTTAAGCG